ATAGGTGGTTAGAACACTCATCATGGTCATATACTAAAGAGAACAGTTGTGGTTAGAACACTCTTCAGGGGCATACAAAAACGATAACATATGTGGTTAGAGCACTAATCTTGGACACACACAAACGATAACATATGTGGTTAGTATACTTATTGTGGACATACAATAACGAAAACATATGTGGTTAGAACACTCATCATGGACAAACAATACAGTGAATATAGATGGCTAGAGCACAAATCAGGAACACGCATTTACAAGAATATATGGTACAGAAACACTCAAGCACAGACACTGGCAAACAAATAAAAGCAATCGCTATATGAACGGAAAAGATATGTTTCTTCTAACTGTATTTAAAATAAAAGAGAATATCTCAACAAATGGTTCCCCTCTAGAAGGCCAGTTTAATAGACACCCTCTCATTACATAAGAAGACCAGCTGTTGAAGCTCTTCCCTTCCCCCTTCCTGAAAACATTGGCAGACGTCCATCTATCAAATAAATGTTCATTGGACACGCAAACATTCAGCGCACGCTCAAACAAGTCTATATCTGTGCGGTGTTCGGGAGAAGTATTTGCCCTGGCTCTTTCATCTGTAGTCTCGCCGACAGAGATATAAGGTGATTCTCTAGATCTGAAAGGTGATAATGAATAGATACGTATCGGAAAGAGACATCAGGGACATTCTCAAGCGTTGAAATAAAAATATTTGGCCAATAAAGTAGGTGTGCTAGGGATGTACTGAACTTCGCTTTCAGGTTCTCTTGTAAACCAAGCAAGTTTGTGTCTTAGATTCCCTTCTGAAATGTTGTATTTAGAAAAATATATGTGTGTTAACTAATTAAATTAAATATACAGAACACACGACGCAACCATGCACGACAAGTTTATATTTGTTGAAATTATTAAAAATAAAACATGCACTAAGCTCTAGTCTAACGTCTGAGACATAGAGGAACAAGAAGTAGTAACAGCAGCATAAAGAGGAGAAGAATATAAAGAAGAAGGAATAGGGAGACTGAAAATAAAAAATAAAAAAAAAAATAAAGACGAGGAAGGGAGAAAAAGAGGACCAGGTAAATACTAGAGACAAACAAATGAACTGAAGGAGGATGTGTTGAAAGAGAAGCAGCAATAGAGACAAGTATGAATGGGGAGGAGGAAAAGACATAAGCCAGATGTAGTGGAGAGGGAAAAGAGGAAGATAAAAATATTTAAAAACAAGGAAAATGAAGAAAGTTGATGTGGAGGAGACAGAGGAGAAAAAGGTGATGAAGGACAAGAATTGAGAGAAAGGAGAGTGGGGAGAAGGGGAGAAGGTACAAATTGGAAGAAGAAGAAGAAGAAGAAGAAGAAGAAGAAGAAGAAGAAGAAGAAGAAGAAGAAGAAGAAGAAGAAGAAGAAGAAGAAGAAGAAGAAGAAGAAGAAGAAGAAATAAATGAAGAAGAAGAAGAAGAAGAAGAAGAAGAAATAAATGAAGAAGAAGAAGAAGAAGAAGAAGAAGAAGAAGAAGAAGAAGAAGAAATAAATGAAGAAGAAGAAGAAGAAGAAAGAAAAGAAGAAAGAAGAAGAAGAAGAAGAAGAAGAAGAAGAAGAAGAAGAAGCAGCATCAGAAGAGAAGAAGAAGAAGAAGAAGAAGAAGAAGCAGCAGCAGCAGCAGCAGCAGCAGCAGCAGCAGCAGCAGCAGCAGCAGCAGCAGCAGCAGAAGAAGAAGAAGAAGAAGAAGAGAAGAAGAAGAAGAAGAAGAAGAAGAAAAAGAAGAAAAAGAAGAAGAAGAAGAAGAATTAGAAAAAAAAGAGAGAAAGAAAAAAAAAAGAAAGATAATTTAGATCGTAAAACAACGTTAAAACAAATTAAGAGGGCATATTTCCTTGTTTATAAACCGTCAACTTGCTGTAACAACCTCTACAGTTCGGCCACACCGACCCAAGAAGATAAGCCACCGATTCTGCGCGCGTTAATTCAACAACCGGCAGTGACGTCAGCAGCCATCCATCCTTGTAACGTCTGGACCTCTTATGTATCATCACCCAGGCATTTATCAAGAACGCATGGCCACGTGATAACGAACCAGTGCCAGTGTTCGGCATACTGGGAAATACCAGGTTTTTGAGAAACTTTCAGGTTTGAAATAAGAATGGGAAATCTGTCCAAATATGTATCAGTGGCAACTTTAGAAGAACTTATCTCATCTGGTCTCGATCCGTGCCGTGTCGAGGGGAAGTATAGTTTACGGTAAAATTGTCCGTCTGTTCCTTTTTCAAATGAATAAATGAAGTTAAGATCAGACGAAATACTAAACAATGAGGTTATTAAACCTAAATTTTGGTTACGTCGGGATTCGAACCTGTGACTTCCAAATGCGAAAAACGCCTCGCTGGTGAAATAGGAAAACACAAAACAAAATATGACTTAAAAAATCAGCGAAAGGAAATTAAAGAGCACACAAATGCACACAAACCTCCCCCTTTCTCCCCCCTCATACACACCTAAATGAACATAACTCTATACACCCACACCTATTGACCAAGGTTACATAAACGCTCCCTTACACGTCAGCAAGGATATTCCTCCAACACCCACACCTATTGACCAAGGTTACATAAACGGTTCCTGTACACGTCAGCAGAGATATCCTTCCAGCACCCACACCTATTGACCAAGGTTACATAAACGGTTCCTGTACACGTCAGCAGAGATATCCCTCCAACACCCACACCTATTGATTAAGGTTACATAAACGGTTCCTGTACACGTCAGCAGAGATATCCCTCCAGCACCCACACCTATTGACCAAGGTTACATAAACGGTTCCTGTACACGTCAGCAGAGATATCCCTCCAACACCCACACCTATTGACCAAGGTTACATAAACGGTTCCTGTACACGTCAGCAAGGATATCCCTCCAACACCGACACCTATTGACCCTTACATAAACGGTTCATGTACACGTCAGCAGAGATATCCTTCCAGCACCCACACCTATTGACCGTTACATAAACGGTTCCTGTACACGTCAGCAAGGATATCCCTCCAACACCCACACCTATTGACCAAGGTTACATAAACGGTTCCTGTACACGTCAGCAAGGATATCCCTCCAACACCCACACCTATTGACCAAGGTTACATAAACGGTTCCTGTACACGTCAGCAGAGATATCCCTCCAACACCCACACCTATTGACCAAGGTTACATAAACGGTTCCTGTACACGTCAGCAAGGATATCCCTCCAACACCCACACCTATTGACCAAGGTTACATAAACGGTTCCTGTACACGTCAGCAAGGATATCCCTCCAACACCCACACCTATTGACCAAGGTTACATAAACGGTTCCTGTACACGTCAGCAGAGATATCCCTCCAACACCCACACCTATTGACCCTTACATAAACGGTTGCTGTACACGTCAGCAGAGATATCCCTCCAACACCCACACCTATTGACCAAGGTTACATAAACGGTTCATGTACTCGTCAGCAGAGATATCCTTCCAGCACTCACACCTATTGACCGTTACATAAACGGTTCCTGTACACGTCAGCAAGGATATCCCTCCTACACCCACACCTATTGACCGTTACATAAACGGTTCCTGTACACGTCAACAAGGATATCCCTCCAACACCCACACCTATTGACCAAGGTTACATAAACGGTTCATGTACACGTCAGCAGAGATATCCTTCCAGCACCCACACCTACTGACCGTTACATAAACGGTTCCTGTACACGTCAGCAAGGATATCCCTCCTACACCCACACCTATTGACCGTTACATAAACGGTTCCTGTACACGTCAGCAAGGATATCCCTCCAACACCCACACCTATTGACCAAGGTTACATAAACGGTTCCTGTACACTTCAAATGCGCCTGCAGCATGTGGAGCTAAAAAAAAGTTTTTAACAATATAAAGGGCTCTTTTCCACCCCTAGACCTATATTTTTATAGACCAATCGGTACAAGATGGGTGATGTGGTAGGCATCACGCCGACTGCCTCTACTTCTCTTGGCTGCACCTGTACCCAATCAAGGCTGGGTCCACCTGGGAGTCAAGGCCACTTTTGAAAAAAAAAAATGTCCGGCTCCGCCAAGGTGCGAACCCACGGATTTCCGAGCAGCACGCGAGCGTCTAGCCGCTACGCCACGCCACTCCCTTGTGATGCTAGATTCACATTTTTGTAGACCTCGATGAGTGAAATGGTCAACGTCCAGCCGGCCGTCCTTGCTTCACATACATATATAACTGCATTACAGCTACCTGTGTCACTATGCGACCTCGTGTCCGGTTATTAATCTTAAGTGAGTGTCCATTCATAGCTTTAGGTTCTTAGGGTTTCCATCCAGCAGTGAGGATATCGAAGCTACGATTTTTCTTTGACATTGTTGATGAATTGTATGTGATGCACATCTAACATTGTATCTGGTCTGATAGAGATCTGCCCACAAGGCAGTTATACAAAAGGTTATTAATCTTTTCTCGCATTCAAACTCATTCGTTCACAGGCAAGCGAGATTTTTATAACATATTTAAAACCAAGAAAATCGACAGCTGTATACTTGAATGATTCCCATACTGAAAGGTCACTCAAGGCAGTGCGACAGATCGAACTCCGAGGCCGTCACACAGAGTACATATGTAGTTCTAAGTAAACCTGCGGTTCTCCGAATAATCTACAATCGGACACCGAATTATGGTATTTAAATTAAAAAACCCACGACTTTCACATCCTGCGTGGCTTTCAGCACGAAGACATATTTTTGTTGCCAGTATCCAGACATCGAAGTGACAGTTCAGGGATTTTTTTGCACTCGCGTGGTTTTGTTTGATTTGTGTATGTGATGATGAAGGCTCTATAGTCACTCCGTTCATGTTTTGTTTGTATTTGTTTTATTGTAAAGCTCCCTGATCTACTTTTTGTTGAATTGTATGTCTTTGCTCAGACATTTCAGAGTTGATTTATATGAATAACTATAAACACTTACCCGTGATAAGTTCCAGGATTCCACAGAATACAAACACCGCAGTCTTCTTGAAGCAAAAGAACAACATTAGAGCAGCCACACAGATAAGCATCAACAGCGCAGAGACCCCGCAGAAGAACGTACTGGCTTTAAAGGAATCGTTGAGGATCTCCTCGAAGTTGCCGAAAGTCCCGTTGCAGGCATACTTTGTGTAGTAGGGCTCAACTGGGTAGCAATGTGCGTACACACCCAAGTGGCCGTAACCCGGTGACTCTTCTGTATCGCCGATCCACTGTGGTTGTACAAAGCAGACGACATTCAGGATGCACCAGATGATTGTCAGCACCGCCCACAGAACTGCCACTGCTCGATACTCCCGAACGTACCGGAAGTGATAGATCTTGACCATGTCTGGGTTGTAATTGACATTTGGATCCATGTTGATGTTCTGGAAAGGAAATCCAATGCAATATGTTACAAAAAAAAAAAAAGGTTTCTTTTTTCATGTCTTTAAGTATAATAGGCATGTGTTTGCCCCAATATATTATTCATAGATTTACCCTAGGTGGGTGATGTGGTTAATTTAATATTACACTGGCTGCCTAAAGTCTCGGTGACATTTCTTGGAAAATTCTTTCAGCTGGATCAACACTTGAGCCCATGTCAATGAAACACCCTACCTCGTTAGGGATCTGAACCTATAACCGGATCGGCAGGCCAGCCTGCAAGTGACTGTGCCACCAGGTGACCCCAGCATGCATTATATTACAGTATAACTCTTATAGCAGAGTAATATTTTTTATAGAGTCCAGAGGACGAAAACTGTACAAGTAGTTAGAGTACTGTTCTGTCAAATTTAGACAGAACAGTTCTGAATCATTTTATTATTATTTTATTATTATTAACGATACAACGATTTTTTTAAATAAGAGAATAAACAGCTTTATTCCTACGCAACCATAAATCTCAGATTTATAGATGGCCATAAGCTATGTCATCACTGCCATCCGAGATGCAGATGGCGAAGACGATTATGGTGATAGGTGCTACCATATGTCTGTGTCCAGACCCAAGGTTATGAGGTGCATCCTGGAGCCACAAGGCATTAACTCTAAACATTGCTGAGGCAACGTGTGATTAATTAAGCTACACAGGACATGCCTGATTAGTCGTTGTACCCTCGTTAAGCTATTGGGGGGGGGGGGGGATTTGAACACCTATGGATTTGCACTGTGGGCTATGCTGATAATTCTCATCAATCATATTTAGGAAGACATGCAAACTGATAAACCAGATTGTTACAACTATCTTATGCTCTTGTCGCACATCAAGCCCACTCAGTACCAAACGTCTAAGTGACTCGGCATCTTGCATACTTGTTTGTTCTAATGTCAACATAGAACCCATACATCTGTAACTTCTAGCCTCTGTCTATTCTATTTTATACGCCCGTGGGGGTAGGAGGTGTGATCAGTAGCAGGGTGCACACATAAATAGAATGTGTAAGGTACAAATAATTGTAATCATTGACCCCGAGTGATAGTAAACTGTCTTCCATCTTTTATTCACCTCTGTAACGTACGAGTTTAATGCCAGCCATACATGTGTGCCTCCTACCGCACAGGATTATTGTACGCTACAAATGATGTCGTTCAAGGTATGGTGTGCCTTCTTGTTTACACACACAATCTAATAGCTTTTTTTCCCACTCACATTCCGCTGTGGATACACTTCAGTAAAAAAATTGATCTGACATGAAACCCCTTATGCTGCAATTGTCTTCAGGGGCAGGTATGGGGGAGAGTGCTTCTTTAAAATCGATAGTGATGATCATAACCGTCCACATTTTTGTGTCATCATACACGTTAATACACTTTTTTCTTGTTATTGTTTTTATTTGTTACCACTTATCAATCTGATGAAGTTTCTCGCTGTAGTTAATTGCTTTGCATGCCTAACATTTGCTCATGCTGGGTTCGTTTTATTTTTAAACACTGTACATTCGCTATTGATGTTCCCGATAAGACTGTTTTGTCCTTTCTTGTGCTCTTTACGTGTAACGCATGTAGTGCAACGTTTTATTTTACTTTGTGTACAACGCAGAGGCTTAACAACATGAAGAACTTATGGCTTGTGATTGTCCCTGCATATTTATATTTATTAACTTTTTTTTTTTTCAACTTCCTCAAATTGTGATATAAAAATATTTGAGTATTTTCTTACGTTTCATATAACCATTGTGTCTGTTTTATTGGTATTCAATGAGTTATTTTTGCACTGTCTATTACAACAACAAAGGCCGTAACCTTTATGCAGATGTTTGCTTTTCCAGCTTTCAAAACTGTCTTCAGGATAATGTAGATAGTTTATATTGCAACCCCCAACTCGTAAATCTGGTCTATCTTTGATCTCTCCCAATATTGTTTCCCTCTACACCTAGAAGAGATTTGGGGAAAAGGGAGAGGGGGGGGGGGGGGGGGGATAGCAGAACTCCGATTTTGCGATGAATCGAAACGTGTATCCATTCCCTCAGCATATCTTAAGGAAAATAAAAACAGAAACGAACAATAAGCAGGGGGCACGGAGAGAGCTAAGGAGGTAGGGAAAGGTAGGGTCGGTGCGGCTGTGGTGGCTGAAGCTTTGAGCCAATGAGAGCTAAAGAGTTTAAGAAAGAGAAATATTACCCCTTTGTAAGTTAAGGGAAAGCTCTGGGATCCAATGGTGCTTAAATTCCATAAAACGCTATGTGGCGATATTAAAGAACTTATTACGTTCCACAAATCCAGTAAAAATTGCTGACATTAATTCTTGTCTATTGCTCTATTTTTGTGTGTAACATCGCTGTCTAATCAATACGAGATTTGTTTTGTAGAAAGATTGCCTTTTCATCATTTAGTAAATTGTCAAATAGTATATCATTTTCTCTCCAGAAACTAACTGGATCTCAATAGGCAGTCATTTGATTACTTTGTCATTTTCATAATAATTTGTAATTTATATGCCAGCTTCAGTAGACATTCTTGTTCTCAGTCGCTGATATTCCTTCAGCCTCATAGGATGTTCAGTAATGTTTGCTACACTTCAGCAGATGTTCTTCTTGTGGCTTTAGCAGTCCTCTTTGATTTCCATAGGGAGAAGCAACTTTTTCGTTCTTTAGTAAAACAGCTTTTCAATTGTTTCTTCTTCTGTATATGCTTTCACTCAGTAACTACCACTCCTTTATGCTGATTATCTCAGGATCTTTTAGAAGAGGTCTGTTCAGATATTTTTACATGTATTCTGATAACTTGTTCACTTGATGGTACATTTTGGTAAGAAATGTCCCTATTATCATTGTTTGTTAGCCCATTCGATTGGTCACATTTTCTTACAAAAGCTGCCTATCCTTTACAGGATGTTGCAAAACTAGCCTGGACATTTTTTGGCTGTTGTGGTTTTTCTTGGCAAATTGTACGTTCAGTAGTTTGCCATTCACTTACTACTTTCCTTTTAATACAATGCAAAATTAGGGATAAGTTCACTTTGGCAGCTATATTTACTTTTTTCATTTGTAATACAACACAGTAATAACTGATTTGGGTATCACAAAAAACAAGTCAGTGCAAGAGCCAGTTGAAAGATAAAAGCAACTAAATGTACAATAATAATTCCATTTTTTTTTAAACTTAAAATATTGACAACTTAACCCCCACATCATTAGATACGTTTATACATAGAGAGGAACTGCAGAAACTTAGATTCACTTTCGTAGGTTGACAAAACTTTGAAATAGAACTCACTTTACTCTGCAATAATTAAAGGATTAAATCATGTATAGATTGTGATAGATAGACATAGCAACAGAAGGGAGATTACTAAGTGCGTATTTCCTACAGAAACAAATGCTGTTAGCCTTAACATTTACGAATGAGTTACTCCTCTGAGTGTAAATATAACAGAACAATTTAACAATTGAGTGGACGAAACATCAACGGAGATACTAGTCCAACAAAACCACAATACTGAAAATGATTATTATTATGTCAAATAACTATGAATAAAATGAAGTATTCTGAGCTTGCAAAAATAGACGAAGGGCTGGAAAAAATCAGTATTTTGGCGATGGCGTATTCGCACGGGGTTGGAGGGAGGCGTGGAAGTGGTGGGAGGCGTGGGAGGTGTCTTCTACTCAATGTGTACATGTTTCTATCATGTCTTACAAAATAGCACTAAATTTTCAGTTGTTTGTTGTTGCTACGTTTGGTTTTCACAATTAATTTGCCAAGTGTATATCTAAACAAACCCTAACCTAGCATATAATAAGCATAATGTTCAGATTACAGACCAGACTGTGCAGCTTCAGGTGAGTGTATCCTTGTGGCTCTATTGTAAGGGCACTCTTTATCTTATAAAGTGAGGATTGCCATAGGGAGAAATGTGGAGAGTTTTATAGTGGCAACGTCCTGTGCAACCAGGCTGTGGTGGTTATAATGCGACTAAACAGCACAGAGTAAGCATGTGATGTACAGAATGAAGTATTACAGGCTCACGATATAATGTGTATACAATACATATTTGCTGGATATCATATTTATATTTGGAGGTGGGGAAAACACACACAAAAGAACAATATCCACTCTTTCCAGCATTCGCGTTCATTTTTTGTTGTAAACCAGTCGTTGTAAAAACGACCATGACATATCAGAAAAACTCAACAGTACAATGTATATATAGAGCTGGGGGACAGAAGAGGAAGAAACAGAACTTTGTATCTCTCTGGACACCGGAAGTAGAGGGCATGAAGATGTTTTCCCAGTTTTGGTTACGGGTGCTCCAACTATAAATTCTTTAGTTTTACAAGTTGAACGGGGTATCTAAGATCTGTGATGTTATTTTACCATCTTGAAAGATTATGCAATTGAATGTTGGTCATGCATTTGGGAAGCAGCTGGGAGCGGAAATTAAATATGAAGTCTTCAGACTTTTGACGTTCTTTTTTTTTCCTGGCAGAACCCACACCTCTCTCGCCTCCTATGTTGTCTGTAAGCAGAAAAGCACACGGGAATATCCTATATAATGCACGAGTAAAAGACATGAGATATTGTGTATGTAAATGCTAGAGAAGCGAGAAAATTTGACTTGGGGAAAACATATATTTGTATCAACACAAATTCCGTGTCACGGTGTTAGATTTATTCATCATTTGTTTTCATTCTTTGAAAACAAGTAGGTATCCTCTATGTGGTCTTTTTTTTTTATTGTGTATATTGTTAGTGTCTTTAGCTTCAAAAATCATGTCAAATGGAAGTAGTGAGATAAACAAAATATGTGGATGGGGAACAAGCTTTGTAATATAGAGTAATGTTATTCTACAGTGAAGCTACACATTTTCGAGTCCTTATGCCTTTCCCCCAAACCTGTTCAAATATTTACACGCCCAGGGCGATTATAACATGCGAC